GAATTTTAATTTCTGTTTTAGTCGCATTGCCCCCAACTCAAACCACAACACATTGGTAAATAATCCATGAAATAGTTTGTCTGGACACATTCAAGTTCCTCTCATTGTCACTTAAAGCTGTGAAAATTTGGTGTTAATCCGATGACAATAAGTATACGTTATTTTTTGTTAAAGACCTTGTATTTTGAAAAACATAAACTCCTAGAAAACGTCCATGAAGTCACAGCAAAGATTTTCAAGCTTGTTTATCGGCACAAACGATTTGTTTTTCCTTCAAGGTCTGTTTTAACATGTGTAGGGGGCATCCAAATGTGTAAGGCTATTGGAAACCAAAAAATAAAGGAATGGGATAGCTACAATTCGATAAAATCGGCAGATGAAAACACCAAAATCAATGATTTTTTTCAGTGGCTGTGTGACCTTGTGTCTGATTCATTCATATGCAAATGACTAATCTGTGAAATAAACAGGGGCGGAGACAAACCACTCAAATCAGCTACTGATAACACATCCTAACATTGCTTTGTCTTGAGTTAATCTTTGAAGCGTATAGGCACACAGATTAAACCTGTGTTGTTGATTTTGGAAAACACTACTGAAGTTGCCTTGCTTCCCTTCAGAAAATCAACATTTTAACCAACTTACATGACATTCTAGGTTACGATGACTTGATCAGATGAAAGTTTATAGTGCATTTCATCAATTAATAAATAAATGTGAAAATCGTAATTTTCAACACAAATAATAGTCTCGCTACCTTAAATGAGTCCCTGTTAGATAAATAGTAAACTAAACTGAAATGGGTCAGCGATTTGAATCAGAGCAGAGTATAGAAGTAAGCGAAGAGGAAAATACAAGTTTATATTTCTGCTTTCTTTTCATGTCATGTAGTAAATGCATAAATTGATGAATTTCAAGAAGTGTGTGCATATCTAGTAGAGGAACTATGATAGTCATTATCAGACCATGGAAGGTACTAACGGAAGGAGCCACGACGCTATTGTTTTAGCTTTACCCCATGATCGTTTGTCAATGTTTGTTCACAAACATTGTTCTTGTTAGCTTTTAACACCTTCGTACAATGGGTTATGCTAATCTCGAGCATTCGGTAATATTCGGAGCATGTTCGGAAGCGATAGTCGTACCTTGCATGTACAATATTGAAAATGGCGAACTTAATGGAAAATTGTCAGATATAACATTGATTGAAGAAACTCTGATGAAATATCGTGAATTTTGTATTTGTAA